TGGTTTGGGCTTGTTGGCTGTGGGTTAAGTCCTTGAAGTGAGAGGGTCTGGCACTGAGTGATCTTATTCTATATAAAAATATATATATATGTGTTGCTTAGGTCAGGCAGACTTGGATCCTCCCTCTGCCCAAATTCTCCTCGGGATGTGCCCCCACCCCTGCCAAGGCCAAGTGGGTGCAGGGTGGTAGCTCTGCCTGGCACCCAAAGATACCTTCTCCCAGCACAAAGTTGGCTGTTGTACAGGCGATTACTGTCTGGGCTGGTGTCAGCTCATGCATTTTTGGGAGTGTGGGCTCTTCTCTGCCTTTGCAGGCCGTAATTTGACAGTACCAGTCACCTCAGCTCCTGCTTTTTGTGTGTTTCCTTTGCTGGTTTATCAGGGAAACCTGGAATCTGACACGTCGGTGCCTTAGTGGTGATGTTTAGCAGGACAGTGCTTGTCTGGGCTAAAATCCGCAGCTTTCTAGTGCAGTATTTTATACATTCTTGGCTTTGCCCAGAGCTGCAGGTTCCAGCCCTGCCTGTCACCTCCTGCCTTTACTGGGCTGATTTCTGGAAAAGCAAAGTTTAAGCTCCCCTCACTCCATCCAAAGCTCTCCCCAATTCCTGCCTTGCAACTGGCCTCAAAAGCGAGGATGGGGGCAGAGAGCCCCACCAGCCCATTGAGATGCTGCGGCAGCAGTGGGCGACCATGGCCCGGTCCAGCAGCTGAAACGGGAGTGAGCAGCAGAGCTAAAAAAAGTCTGATGACCTAATCCAGTCTCCATGGCAACGTTGTAGATTAATGGCTTTTAGCTGTAATCTGAATGAGATGTGTTGAACTTTTATATGATGATTTAGAGCCTCTGGATGTCCTGGGTGACTTTGACTTCAAATCCATCAGTCACGTGCACGCCCAAGTATCCCCTTGTAACGGTGGAGAAGGAACATCTGCTGATGCTGCTGCTAAAGCAGAAGCTAATGCCACTGAGCATCGTGTGTGAGTAAATAACCTCAGCTGGTGCAAGGGTGGTAGAGACAAGACAGCGTGTAATACATGGAGAAATCATTTTTAACAATGTGTTTCTGCCCTGCTCCCGGGGCTACCTGGTATTGCCACAGAGGAAGCAGGGTGGCTTAAGACCAGCACACTGTGTGTTGTTTTGGCTTTTTGTTGGTGGTTTTTTGTTTTCTTTTTTCTAGCTAGCTCCATGGAGAGCTTGTTGGCAGCGTGATGCAGTCTCCTGACCTAGAGCTATCTGGCTAGTGGAGGTGTTTTGGAGAGGGCTTGGCGGAGCGCAGGTTGCTGCCTCTCGAGCTCTGCAGACAGATGGGTGCCCCTTCTCAAAAGCATAAAGCAGCAAAAGCTTCGTTCCCCGATGCATGCTCTGGGAGCAGGTGTCCCCATCGTATGTGTGGATTCGTTGCAGCTTAATTACCTGTCATAGGCATGTCTCTGCGGCCGATGTGGGTGGTGTATGATTGCTGCAGAGCCAAGTAGGATGGTGTTGTGCCATGCAGGTTTCTGTCAAGGGCTACCTGTGATGAGGACACTTGAGATTCCACAGGTTGTCCTCATGTCCCAGCTTGCAGACTGGCTGCCTATGAGATCCATGAGTAGCCCTTCTGCAATGGGAAAATAGGGTGCTGGGAGGAAAGGATAACCCAGACTCAGGTGGTGCATAGCCCATGCATCCTCATCGCCTCAAAGACAAGCAGCAGGGTTTGCTTGGAAGGCAAATCTCTCCCTCCCTCTCCATCAACCTACTGGACTCGGAGCTCCCGTGGGTCACTGGCAGGCCTTGCGGCATCTTTTGCTGCAGCTGTGGTTTATCCCCACCGAAGAACCTCGCCTGCCAGAAACAGGCAGCATCAAAGAGCCGTGGATTGCCAGCCCAGCCCATGGGGAATGGGGAGATGAAAGCCTGGCGGCGTTGCCGGAGCCCTGTAGCTCGTTTGATGCTGATTGCAGAGTCTCTTTCATATGGGTGATGTCTTGCAATAGTAATAACTTGGGAACCTTTTGTTTTCTCCTCAGCACTGGAAGACGCGAAACAGCGAGGAGTATGAGGCCGAGGGTAAGAGCAGGCAGCAGTGCTTACGTGGGCTTATTCTCTCTCCAGCTTTGAAGATAAATCAGAGGAGCGCTGTAAGATGGACCCAGTCTGGTGTGGTGCAGAGCTTGGGAAGGTGCAGATGGGGCAATCCAGCCCTGAGCTGGGAATGAAACCTCAAGTCGGGCTCCTTGGAGGGCACAGTCTTGTGCCTTGCACTCTCTGCCCTCTTTTCTCCCTTTTGCCTGGCAGAGGCTGCTAGTCCCCCTGGCCCCAGCAGCCCCAGAGCAGAAGACGGGGCTGGTCCTGGTCCCTGGCTCCTGCCCTGGGTGCTGCTGGCTGTAGTGGATCACGGTAGGCACTAGATGTCAGCACGGACCGGTCATTAACTGTTTCCTAATCGTCCTGTAAGGGAGAGCAGGGTGGCCCCAGGGTAATCGCTGGGCTTTGGCACTAACACACAGCCTGCAAAGCAGCAAAAGAGGGTTGCTTCAACACCTCGTCCCTATTTCAGCTGCTCTCTAACCCCTAACCTATCTGAAGGCACCGAAGTTGGTCTCTAAAAGCTGCTTTTCCAGCTCTGGGATGAGGTAGCGGGGGTGAGGAGGTGGCCTTGCAGCTCAGCAAGCTCCAACTGGTTTGTGTCCAGTGGCTCTGGGAGCTTTTCCAGCTGCTTGAGACTGCGCTGAGGGTGTTTGCTGGAGGGAGAGGAAACAGGGTTTGGTCTTTTTTTTTTATTCCCTTGAAGGGGCATTTGGAAGTCCTTATATCAAAACATGCCCTACAGTTTACATTTTAAGGGAATGGGAGCTCCGTCTGGGTGGTGGCAGTTATGGAGACAGGCAACCACTGGAGTTCTCGACCTGGTCGAGGTATATAGATCTGCAGCTTGCTCAGTCCTCTCCCTTGATCCCATAACTGCCCAGAAGAGAAGGATTCCCTTCATCCATGCCAGCAGCTGGGCTGGGCTTCCCCTGGCCTCCAGCCCACACTGGCCATCGGGTTCATCCTCATCCCCAGCGATCCTCCTGGCCGTGCTTCCAGCTGTAGCTCACTCAGCCCCTGGACGTGGGGTTCCCTCGCCTGTGGTGCCACATGGGGGTTGAATGCTGAGCAGGATCTGCGCCTTCTGGTAGAGTCTGATAGCCACGTGGGTGCTGGTGGCTGTACCCTCAAATTACAAAGCGTGCTCTGTGCAGGGTGAGGTAAGGCAGGTGGTCCTGTGGGGTCTGATGAACAAGGGGGGAGCAGTGAATCCCCCATAATGTGCAGAACCCTCGGGTCTTCTGGTGGTCCCTTACACACAGTGAATGGACAGAAACCAGAGCAGTTTCCCCTGTTTCCAGGGCAGCTGCGCTTCTGGAACCCGGATGACCTGAATGCCTCCCCCGGAGCATCGCTGCCCACCCCGGACTGGATAGAGGAGAAACTCCAGGAGGTCTGCGAGCACCTTGGCATCACCAGGGATGGCCACCTGAACCGAAAAAAGCTCATCTCCATTTGTGAGCAGTATGGGCTCCAAACAGCAGCCGGGGAGGTGAGCGGCCACGGACAGACCCCCTCGCATTGTTGCTTTTAGCACGGCCCCCACAAAATCCGTGTCCTGTGGTTGACCTCAAGCCTAAAGCACAAGTGCTGGTTTACAGGTAGCTGCTTGGAAAGGGGTTTTCAGCTTCAGCTCGCAGCTTTGCAGCAAGTTTCTTGGTGTTGAACCATCAGACGTGGGAGGCTGCTCCAGCAGAAAGCAGCTGCCAGCCTTACTGACACTGTAGCGTGCATGCCTCCTCACGCAAGCCCAGAGTAAACTGGAATTTGAAAACATAGCCTAGATTCCAAGCATGTCTCCTTAATCCCAGAAATCTTCTAGCTAGATGGCAAATACGGGTTAAAATATTCATAGGTGGTTGCTTTTGACTTTGAGAAGGCCTGCGGGCAGTTTCTGTCCTACAGGAAGAGTCCACAAGAAAATTATTCCTTTAGCAAAAAAGTCTCTTGTCGATTTGGGATTTAGTTTTATAAAGAAATCAAGCTGGTTTGCATCTTAAAATAACACGACCTGTAATCATTACTTTCATAAAACCTGTTCCTGAGTAGGTTTTCTTTTGCAGCAAAAAGCTTTCAGGATATTAAGGCAGAAACTGGAAAAAACAAACTGTAGACAAAGAAATAGTGAAGGACTAAACATCTCTGGTCCTAACGAGGTTGGTCTTGCTTTTCAGAAAGCAGCCTGCCCTGAAGTGTAAACCAGATTTATTGTAACCTTGCAGTGTGTTTAACTATGTTTGTTTATTTGAGGTTTTTTGCCTGGTTGCTTCACAAGCTGCTGGGCTTTTGGCATGTCTCACTACCTCACACTCAATTCCTGAGGTCACCCTGTCTTGAGAGCAGGATGAAACCTGGGTTTTTTCATGCTGCTTTGCAAAGATAATCAGGAGCTGCTGTGCTTTTACAGGCAGGATTTTGATAGTGTATGTGGCTGCAATTTTCTACGTGAAGATTGCTGTGCAAATGTTAGGCTGATACAGTGTTCCAGGTAACTCTTGCTTTGCTCTTTTTTTTTTTTTTTTTTGGTATAACCTTGGGAATAGGATATTTTCTGCTGTGCCATGGTGCATTTTTAGCAATAGCGGATATGATTTCTATTCCCTGTCGCTTGCAGGTCCTTGAAGAGGTGCTCCATAACCTGGAGCAAGACGGCACCATGAGCGTAGAGGATTTCTTCTACGGCTTGTTTAAAAACGGAAAGTTGCTGACACCCTCGGCATCCACTCCGTACAGACAGCTGAAACGACACCTCTCCATGCAGGTGAGAAACCGAGGTGGATCCTGGCGTAAAAGCAGGAAGACAAGTCCTGAGCAACTCCCACCTAGCCTGCCTGCTCTCCTCCAACTAGAAGAGAAGCTGTGGCAGCCTCCTCCCTTGAAGTGTTCAAGGCCAGGCTGGGACGGGGGTTTGAGCAACCTGGTCTATTCTAGTTGTGCCATTCTGTGATTCTAACCTGTTCCAGTGTCTCACCGCCCTCACAGAAAAGAGTGTCTTCCTGGTATCTGACCTAAATCTCCCCTCTGCCAGTTTCAAAGTGTTACGCCGCATCCTATCACAACACTCCCTGATAAAGAGCCCTCCCCAGCTTTCCTGTAGCCTCCTTTGAGCACGGGAAGGGCTCTCCGAAGCTGTGAGATGCAGTAGGTGAACGGTATGAACTTGGATGCAGGGGGAGGCAGTGACCTGGGGTAGGCTGGAGACTGTGGGCATGCAGGTCCTCCGTATCTAATTATTGAGAATCTTTTTTTGAGGGAGTTTGAAACCCACCGCCTATCTTTGCCTGGAAGCTGAGGGATGTAGCAAAGCACCTGCTCATATGGTCCCTGCAGCCTTTTTAGGGAAGGTAACACTTAAAATCAGAATCGCGCAGTGGAAAACACTTTTGGAGCATTGAGGACAGCTTTGGAACTGCCCTTTCCTTTGGATTTATTTTAAATCCGTAAGCGCCTGGTCACGCTGTGGTGTCATGAGGTCAGCAGCAGTGCTCCTGATGGGTTATTTGCTTGGCAGCAAGGAAAAACAGCCCTTAATCCTTAATCCCCAGGGTACCGTTAGCAAAATTACATTTATAAGCCTTTCTCGTCGCGGGGTGGCCAGATGCCTGGCTCTGCCCATGCCCCGTCACAGCCTCTCCCCACTTTCGGCAGTCCTTCGACGAGAGTGGACGGCGCACGACCACCCCCTCGGCTATGCCCAGCACCATCGGCTTCTGCCTCTTCTCCAGCCTGGATGATGGGATGGGCTACGGCTGCGTGGAAAGTGTCCTTGACTGCTGGCACCAGGAGGGCATAGAGAACAGCCAGGAGATCCTAAAGGTAACTGTCAGCTTCATCTCGCCCCTTCTAGTTTCCTTTTTTCCTTCCCTCCCCCCCCCCACTTTTTTTTTTTCTTCCTTTTTTTTCCTGTTGTGGGATGCTGGACTGCAGCTGGTTTATTTTACTCCTTTAAAATTCTGAGTGCTAGTGACAAGAGTCTAACTGTTCCAGGAAACTTGCCTTGTTGAAATGACGGTGCAGCCCAGAGAGCTACAAGTTAATACTAAAAATGTAATGTGACTTCCAGCTTAGCTCGAAGAGGTCACCTATATTTGTAGAAAGCAATTTAATTCCTTTTACCTCGCTGAATAGCTGCAGCTGCAAGTGTTTTAGCATGGGGATGACCTGAATTATTGCTTGCACTGAGGTGGAGGACAGCACTTGAAAGGCTGCTCGGTAATTAGTGTTTTGTTATATGGAGTAAAAGGATAATCGGGGTTGCATATCGGATACCTGAAGTAAACCCCATCACTGTCTGTCTTGCTAGAAGCTGTGGGCAGGAGATGGTTTCACGTGCCTGTTCTGAGACCATCTTTGGGTTCCCAGCAGCGATGATTGCAGATTTCTCTCGGCATTTCACGTCCTTGTGGAAACGGAATGTCCAGGTTGTAATAAACTTTGCCATTGCTCAGGCTTTAAAACACATTTGTAGCCTGGCCTTGATCACCTGGTGCTGTTGTCACCAGACGTGTGTGCTGCCTTCTCTTCTGCTTGTTGCCTTCTACAAGTAATTTGCTCTGTTACTGGTGTGACTGGGGTGGGTTCTCCAGTGTTTGTGGTGTTTCAGCCCTACCAATAGCGCTGCTTCGCTCCACGTTGTAATTCCCTTAGGCTGAAGGAAATTACAAGCTGATAATTTATTTCTGAAGAGGTATCTTCTCTATCACATACTTCCTACAAGGCTTCCTCCGTGATGTCCCTATCGCAGGAGCTGGTTTTGTTTAACACGAACATCTTCAGCCACTTTCGTGCAGCATTTGAATATCTAAAAAGGGTGCTGTAGTTAGATCCTCTAGAGAATTAGGACTTTTAATCAGGCATGGGCTTAATTTCCTCTTGCTCTTGCAGCACAACCAGGACACTTTCCATCTCCGCAGCTGGCAGCAGCCCTTTCGTGTAGGAAGGTGGCGGGGATGTCTGGTTTATTGCCCCAAAGGCATTTGTGTGACAGATTAATCAGTGAGCAAAGAGCTTTCCCGAGCCTCCTCGTTTTAGTCCGTCACTTCACGTACACATGTCTCCAGGCTCCTGCAGGGCAGGAAAGCTCGTTCCGCTCTAACGATGTGTTGTTTCGCAGGCTTTGGATTTCAGCTTGGACGGGAAGGTGAACTTGACGGAGCTGACGCTGGCGCTAGAAAACGAGCTTTTAATCACCAAGAACGGTGTCCACCAGGCAGCCCTGGCAAGCTTCAAAACGGAGATCAGACACTTGCTGTAAGTCACTGGCATCGCTGGCTCTGCTGCTTCCTTGCTGCTCTCTCTGTCTGGCCAAGCAGGAGCTTAAGGAGCAGCTGATTAATGATGGTTCAGAGCACTTCTCTGAGGGGCATAGGCACGGCAAGGCCGTTTCGCTGAAAGGCTGGTTAGCTTGGTCAGAAGCTTTTAGCTCTCTCGTTTTGCATGGGTAAAATACTCAAACCTGAGTATTGCAGAAATACATGCTTTAAAAAAAATAAAAAAATAAAATCGTGGCAGCAGGCTGCTCCCAGCCCTGCCCTGAGGTCTGGAAACCGTCACCGCAATCTGCAGCGGTCATTGATGGCCAAGGATGGCAAAACTTAAGACAGAGGCTGGTGCAATTTGATACGCAATGCTGTTAATCCTAACTGATTTCTTGCAGTACAGTTACATAGGTTTTGCCGTGGGGGTGAGGTACAAAAGCACCACACACCTCCACTTTTTTTCGTTTGAAAGCCAGCACAGTTTGGCTTTGCAGTGGACTTGCCACGCAGGCTTCTCTGCTGAGAGAGTGTAGGAGGTGGGAAACATTACTCTGTGTGTATATTTGTCAATTATACTACTGAAGCACAAATATTTGGTCCTGCACACTACTAGATCATCTTGTCCACCCAATCTGGAGACCACTGCTCCAAGTGTTGCACCTGCTGTTTCACACCGGCTCGTTCCTGTTGTGTGACTCCTGCATCCATCCACCACATGCACAAGCTCCAGTTGTTAGTGGTGTTTTGCTTGCGCTGTAAATCTTTGTATAGTTGAAATATTTATCAGCTTATACATCCACCTTCACACACCACCGTAGATGACTTTTGCTGGTCCTTAAGACTGCGTTGTTGGCTCACCGCTGGCTTGGCTTGTATGAAACCTCACAAGATGAGGCCCCCCACTGTTTTTTCTGCATCTACGTGTCTGAATTCCTTTTTGCGTTCACTCAGCAGAGGGGTTTGTTAAGTTTCTGTCAAGAAAGCTGCTCAGTGTAGCAGATCGTACAGCCTTGTGATCAAAACCAGCCTGGGTGTAGTGTAAGGGTGAAGTGGTGAAGATAATAAAATGATGAGAACAAGTAAAAGGGGCCGAAAGTGTCCTGGCAAAACAGCGTAGAGCTGCAATTCTGAGGGCTGGACCACGGCTGAAGAGCTCACATGATGAGGTCTCAGGACCTACAGAGATATCAAGACATAGCCAGACCTATGTGTGCAAGTTTGTATCTAGTGGCTGAATGTGGCTGATAAGACCCTTGGAGAGCTGTCTGAGCTGTTTTTCTCCGATGAGCCTTTTGCAAGTACCTTCTTCAGGGGAGCCTAATCCGGGCTGGCTGTGCTTACCCTAGGGAGAGGGTTGACCAGGTGGCCAGAGAGAAAGAGAAGCTGCGGTCAGACTTGGAAAAAGCCGAAAAGCTGAAATCCCTGATGGCCTCCGAAGTGGACGACCACCACGCCGCCATTGAGCGCCGGAACGAGTACAACCTCAGGTATGGCATCTGGGTCACCTCTCCCTCCTGTCATCACTGCAGTGGTATTGCAGGGGCTTGGTGACAGGATGCTGGTTGCCACCAAACTTCACTCGCAGTGGTATTTGCCGCCTACTTCTTTTCGTGAGCTCTTCTTACCTCCAGTGCCTTCGCAGGAAGCTGGACGAAGAGTACAAGGAACGAATCGCGGCTCTAAAGAACGAGCTCCGGAGAGAGCGGGAGCAAATCCTGCAGCAGGCTAGTAAACAGCGGCTGGAGCTAGAGCAGGAGATTGAAAAGCTGAAAACCGATGAGAACTACATCCGAGACCGCCTGGCCCTTTCCCTGAAGGTAACGGGGACTAAACGCAGGCGGCGTGTTCCCCCAAAAGGCAGGGGTGCCCAGAAGTGGGGAGCAAGGCTTACAACATAGTTCTTGTTGAGAGGATGCATTGCAGTGCCTGTTGAGCTAGCTGAAAGGAATTTCAGCAGCAAGATAGAGGCGTAGCCATGAGAATTTTTGGGTCACCTCCATAGGTTGATCCTTGGATTTGTAAAGCTCCAGTTTGAGTCTCTGCTGCCATCAAGTGCAGACCGTGCGTGTGTACGGCTATAGGACGGGCTGTCTGCCTTGGTGACTTTTTGGCTCCAGCTGGGAGATATGTCTTTACAAAGCTTAAAATATTGCTTAAAAAAGAATCTCTAAAGCAAGTTTGCTCTTATTCCTTTGGATAATCTGGTGCCCGATGCAATGGTATTGTTAACCTGTGACCCCACAGATCCACATAATTTTCCAACTTTTTTTGGAAAACACTTAAGTCACAACTTTTCTTCAGAATCTCACAGCTGCGTAACCTTATAATTTTTTATTTTTCTTTAAACCAAGCAAAAGTTAACGGTAATGATGTTGTGTTACAAACAACCTCAAAGGTGATGATGCTTAGAGGGAGTTTATACACCTTTAGAGATGTTCAGGTGAGCAGCTTTTGGAGGGTTGGCTGTCCTGTGAGCCTCTGGAATATTGTAATTGTACGATTAATTGAAACT